CTGATTGTTGTTACTTTAGGTAGTATTGGTCTTGTGTCATCTGTAGATGTCAGGATCTGATTGTTGTTATTTAGTTAGTAGTGGTGTTGTGTCGCGCTGTAGATGTTACGGTCTGATTGTTGTTACTTAGTTGGTAGTGGTGTTATGTTCCTCTGTAGATGTCAGGATCTGATTGTTGTTACTGAGTTAGTAGTGATGTTGTGTCCCTCTGTAGATGTCGGGATCTGATTGTTGTTAGTTAGCTAGTAGTGGTGTTGTGTCGCTCTTTAGATGTTACGATCTGATTGTTGTTACTTAGTTAGTACTGGTGTTTTGTACTTCTGCAGATGTCAGGATCTGATTGTTTTTACTTAGTTAGTAGTGGTGTTAAGTCCCTCTGTAGATGTCAGTATTTGGTTGTTGTTACTTAGTTAGTAGTGGTGTTTTTCCCTCCGTAGATATCAGGATCTGATTGTTGTTACTGAGTTAGTAGTGGTCTTTTGTCGCTCTGTAGATGACAGGATCTAATTGTTGTTACTTAGTTAGTATTTGTCTTGTGTCATCTGTAGAAGTCAGGATCTGATTGTTGTTACTTAGATAGTAGTGGTGTTGTATCGCGCTGTAGATGTTACGGTCTGATTGTTGTTACTTAGTTAGTAGTGGTGTTATGTTCCTCTGTAGATGTCAGGATCTGATTGTTGTTACTGAGTTAGTAGTGGTGTTAAGTCCCTCTGTAGATGTCAGGGTTTGGTTGTTGTTACTTAGTTAGTAGTGGTGTTTTTCCCTCTGTAGATGTCAGGATTTGATTGTTGTTATTTTGTTAGTAGTGGAGTTGTGTCCCTCTGTAGATGTCAGGATTTGACTGTTGTTAGTTAGTTAGTAGTCGTGTTGTGTCCCTCTGTAGATGACATGATCTAATTGTTGTTACTAAGTTAGCAATGGTCTAGTGTCGCTCTGTAGATGTCAGAATCTGATTGTTGGTATTTAGTTAGTATTGGTCTTGTGTCATCTGTAGATGTCAGGATCTGATTGTTGTTATTTAGTTAGTAGTGGTGTTGTGTCGCGCTGTAGATGTTACGATCTGATTGTTGTTTCTTAGTTAGTTGTGGTGATGTGTGTGTCTGTAGATATCAGGATTTGATTGTTGTTACTTAGCTGGTGTTGTATGTTACATCTAATGTTGCACAATTGTGATTTCTGTGTTAGCCGTAACATAGTGTAACCATTGTGTTGTCTTACCTCTGACATTGTACATCGCTATTTTGGTCTTACATCTGACATTCTACAACTGTGATGTTTGTGTTACCCTTAACATATTGTAACTACTGTGTTGTCTTACCTCTATTGTTATACAACTGTAATGCCTGTGTTAGCCTTGACATTTTGTAACTAATGTGCTGTCTTACCTCTGACATTCTACAGCTATGATGTCAGCCTAACATATTATAACTACTGTATTGGTATTATCCTTAACATTCTACAAATGTGATGTCCGTGTTAGCCCTAACATAATGTAACTACTGTATTGGTATTATCCTTAACATTCTACAAATGTGATGTCTGTGTTAGCCCTAACATAATGTAACTACTGTGTTGTCTTACCTCTGACATTGTACAACTGTGATGTCTGTGTTATCTCTAACATTGTGTTGTCTTACCTCTGACACTGTACAACTGTGATGTGTATGTTAGCCCTAACATAGTGTAACTGCTGTTTTGGTCTTACCTCTGACATTCTACAACTGTGATGTCTTTGTTAACCCTACCTCTGACAATCCTTCAGTATGTTATTGTAACGATAGCAGAATGATATGGTATATTATGATGGGAAAGTCCATTATTTGAGTTTATTATCGTAATGTAACGATGAAAACTGTTTAGTAATAAGAAACTACAATCTACGTCAGGATACAGCTGGAGGTAACATGGATGACGTAGATATAGCAGGGTTCAAATTCGATGACGAGGAACCCACTTTGAAACTAATAATGGCTGGAGACGGCCTGAATGGGTAATGAAGAAAAACTTTAATATAAGTATAACATAACAGCAAATGTACAACGTTTCGACAAGGTTTTGTCATCATCAGGTACAGGGTTGTTTTCAACTGGATTTCTTTCCTTAACAAATACCGCTATCATTGAATAATCCTCTGAAATTTACAATATTCTACATCTTTGCTGTCAAAATGTTAAACTACAGAAAACAAACATAAAGGTCATTAACTATTTTTTCTCTCCTGTAGAATATGCTTCCGCTATGCTAAATGGAGTAACAACATCAGTAATTCCAAGAAGTTACAACTTTCTTTTGGTCGATCGCCCATTTCCTCTCTTGATCCCAGGTGTTAACGAACGATGGTCGGGACTTTTGGGTGGCGCTCTCTACAAGTATCGGCTAACGGCCAAACCAATGGATGGTGGAGAACCAGGTTATGCTGACGTAATGATTGAAACAAATACTCCTCCAGTCAAGGGAGAACTTGAGGTGAGTTGTTAAACCTAGATTACGAAACGTGTAGAAATATATATATATATATTGTTATGTTGTCCAGGGTAAATGTTAAAAGTGAGATATACTGAACGTGTATATATATATATATATATATATATTAGGTCGTCATGAAATTAATGTCGCTATTTTTAGATGAAAAACCCCGAACAACTTATACAACAAAACAAGACATTTATTAAATGAAATAGTCTCCATTCTTATCGATGATGCTTTTCCATCTTACAATCAGATTGTTAATGCCCTGA